CTAGTTCTGGCCAGATGGTTTGGTTGGAGCGTCATTTCATGCAGCAAAGGTGGCAGGTTTGATTCCCAGCCAGGACACATACTTAGGTTGTGGATTCGATCCCGATCAGGGCTCGTTCTAGATGCAGCCCAATCAGTGTTTCTCTCTCTGTCTGTCTCTTTCTCTCTTCTACCCCCTTTCTCTCTCTAAAAAAAATCAATAGCCCTGGCCGATTTGGCTCAGCAGTTAGAGCGTCGGCCTGCGGTCCAGAGAGACCTGGGTTTGGTTCCCACTAAGGGCATGTACCTCGGTTGCAGTTTGTCCCCGGCCCTGGTTGGGTCGTGCGGGTGGCAGCCACTCAATGTGTTCCTTTCACGTCGATGTTTCACCCCTCCCCCCACTCTATCTGAACAAAAAATGAAAAAATGTCCTCGGGTGAGGATAAAAAAAAAAAAAATCGATAAAACCTTGGCCGGTTTGGCTCAGCAGTTAGAGCATCAACCTGCAGACCAGGGGAGTCCCAGGTTCAATTCTGGCCAAGGGCGCATACCTCAGTGTGGTTAGTTTCTGACCCCAGTTGGGGTCGTGCGGGTGGCAGCCATTCGGTGTCTCTCTCTCACATGTGTCTCTCTCTGTCTCTCTTTCTCTCTCTCTCTCTCCCTCCCTCCCACTCTGTCTGAAGATAAATGTAAAAAAATCCTGGGGTGAGGATTGGAAAAAAAAAATCAATAAAAACATATCCTTGGGGGAAAAAAAAATAAAAGACCTGACAATTCCAAGTATTGATGAGATTATGAAGCTACTTGAACTCTCATACATTGCTAATGGGAATGTACTATGACACAACCTCTTTGGAAAAATTTTCCAGTTCCATATAAAGGTCAAGATATGCTTACCATATTTAGCAATTCTACTCCTAGGTATTTTCCAAAGATAAATGAAACTTATGTCAATTAAAAGGAAGATTTCTGCTAGAATAGTTATAACTGCCTAAATGTTCATCAGGAGATGAACAGCTAAACTATTATATCCACACAATTCAATACTGCTCAGCTATTAGAAAGGAACAAACTACTACTACCCTACAACATGGTTGAATCTCATAAATATTCAGAAGTAAAAGAAGCCAGACACAAACTGGTACATAGTATATGATTATATTTATACAGGGTGGGGCAAAAGTAAGTTTACAGTTGTTTGTGTGGAAAATAATACAGTAGTTAATAACTAATACAAGAATAAAGTTCATGTTTCATGTACTCACAGCTGTAAACCTACTTTTGCCTCATCCTCTATGTGGTGCTAGAACAGGCAAAATGAATCTATCATGACAGAAAGCAAATCATTGGTTGCCTGGGGTAGGAGATTGACTGCAAGTATGTACAAGATAATGTTTTTGGATGATGGAAGTGTTCTACATTTGAGTTTTGTGGTGGATACACAGATATATACATTTGTCAAAATGCCTCATATTGGCCCTGGCCGGTTTGGCTCAGTGGTTAGAGCATCGGCCTGCGGACCAGAGAGTCCTGGGTTCAGTTCCCCCTAAGAACAGGTACTGTGGTGGCAGTTCATCCCCAGCCCCTGTTGGGGTCGTGTGGGTGGCAGCTAGTCGATGTGTCTCACTCACATTGATGTTCTCTCTCTCTTCCTCCCTCTCTCCTTTCCTCTCTGTCTGAAGATGGATGCAAAAATGTCCTCAGGTGAGGATAAAAAAAAAAAAAAAGCATTTTACTGTATTTTTTTTTACATGGGTATATTTTATAATATGTAAATTATACTTCAGTAGCATTTCATTTATGGCACAGCCTTCTGTGACTTTTTCCCTTCTCCCTTAAATTCAAACAGCTCTTCTTTCTCTACTCTTAGCATGGTATTTTCTTATTCTTTTCTTACTCCTTACTTTTTTCACTTGTCTCTTTGTGTTTTACTGGGTTATAAGCTCTTATTCACCTTTATTTGCACTATAGCACCTTGCTCATTGTAACCTTTCAATAAGTGCTTGTTAAACTGAGTTGATATAATGCAAAGAAAGAGTTATCAGCTATTGCTTTGCTTTAATTACAAGTTCGAAGTCTGAAAGTAATCACAGGCTTGATATTAGCAAAACAAGGCTATGAAGCAGATAAAATTGATAGGAGGCATCTTTAGGGCAATCCTATTTTATATTCAATTGCATTGGAAATACATGGAAGATGAGTAATCCTGGGCCCTGTAGAAAGTTGTCTTTAAAGCAAGATAACCCTGTGCCGTTTGCAAAGACCTGAAGGATGTAAGTAACTAGACTAAATGACAATATATTTGATTCCAGAATGAATGAAAATCTGGTAGAATCATAAATTTAGTTCTAGAAGTTACCATGGATACCGTTTAGTCCAATGCATTATTATACAGACCCAGAGAGGATAAATAACCTGCCAGAGCCACACAGCAAATAAGAGATAGGTTTAAAACTGAAACCTAGGTTTCTGCCAGGAATTTTACACAGTGGACAACTGGCTGCCTTTGGAAGTTCTAATGACTTGCCCCTTAGACAAAAGCTCTCATTAAGTTTGGACTTGGAGTTAGGCAAATAGGATAGATAAAAGAGCAAGGGCAGGAGTCAGCTGTCATTTCCAAGATGGAACCAAAATTGGAACCATGGGTAGGACCAAGAGTTGATTTATGTGTTCCTGATTATATCCTTGTTCGTTTTCCACTAAGAACTCATTTAATCTGCATTTAAAACCTATTTTGTGTACTTGTCGACAGGTTTTCTATAGTAAGAATATACTGTAGCTTGTTGAAAAGGAATTAGTGTTTAACCCAGAATATTGGTGAATTCCACAGGAATGTTAAAACAATCTAAGGGAGTGCCCTCTCTCAAACCTCCCCTTTTTTCCCTGTTCCCTGTTGTGTGTAGATTTATCAGGGATTGAGGGTGGCAACAGTTGCTATTTTGCATTTCACTGGTTTTGAATTTCATTTTTTAAGGACAATATGAAGTCAGTTTTATAATTAAAGTGAGTTTAAGCGGTCATTTTGAATTTTAATGATGAAGGACATTGAGATACAAAAGGCAGCTTTGAAAGCTACAGCAAAGCTTGCTTCTTAGATGAATCCTTTGAATGAAGAATAATAGCATGGATGGTGATGATGAAGGAATGGGAGCTGCTGCTATTTAATGTATTCTCCACTCTCAATATATGGATGCAGCCTCCAAATTTTACAAAGGAAATAATCATCAGCACAGCATCTCTGCTCTCGTATGGATTGGTCTTTTTGTAAAGCAGCCTCCTGGGTTTTCTCAGTAAAAGTATTTTATTTTAAAATATATCTCTAGACACTTACTCCTGGTAGGCCTGGGAAAATGTAGATTACTTCATGTCTCTTCAAAATTTCTTTCAAAGAAAAGAGTCAAGCTCAATTTGTGTTTTTGAGATAGAGAAGAAGAGTAGATAGGAGGAAGGAGGAAATCTTAACTTTGCTTTGGGGGGAGAAAAAAACCTTTCAGTCCTTTGTTGATGCCTTAGCTTCTGCATTAGTCATATGTCCCTTCCTCCTGGGCCATAGGTGGACCAAAGGAATGCAACCATGTGCTATTTTGTCAAGGAGAGCGCAAAGAGAAGAAAACAGCTGATAAAAGAAAAACATAGGGCTCCCCACACCCCTAGGTTTCTAGTTTTATTTTTAGATCAATGGTTTCAGGATATTTGGCCTTCTATTTTGCTTTTTTATTTCATTATTTCTGATGCTAGTTACACACACACACACACACACACACACCAGTACTGAATTCCCTAGCCTTAATAATGAGATGATAGTGTTCAAAGTCCAATTTTTAAAAAATGTTATAATGGAAGTTAACTACAGTGGGAAGCTAGTGGAGGCAGTTAATAATGATATTGGAATGAAAAACCTTTCCTGTAACTGCTTAGAAAATGGTGGGGGTGGGGGGATGCAAGCTAATTGACAATAAAGAGCTTAATAAGAGAAAAGAGAGCCCGGACACTGTGGCTTAGTGGTTGAGCATCGACCCATGCACCAAGAGGTCGCTGGTTCAATTCTCAGTCAGGGTACATGCCCAGGTTGTGGCCCCAATCCTCAGGGGGGCATGCAGGAGGCAGCCAGTCGATATTCTCTCTCATCGATATTTCTCTCTCTCTCCCTCTCCCTCTCTCTCTTACAAAAAATTAATAAAGAAAAAAAAAAAAGAAAAGACAAAGTAGGGGAGCACTCAGTAATGAGTAACTCACTGAATAGTCAAAGGTAAAGGTTTGTATACCAACTTAACAAAGGGGAGGATTTAGGGCTTTAGAACATGGTTTTGCCCTTGCCATGTGGTTCAGTTGGTTGGTTGTGGCTCCATTCCGGGTCAGGGCACATGCCCAGGTCACAGACTCGATCCCCAGTAGTTGGTTGTGCAGGAGGTAGCCATGGATGTTCTGCTGTAGCATCCATGTTTCTCTTTCTCTAAAAATCAATAAAATACTTTTTTAATCAATAAAGAATATTTAAAAAGAAGATTGAAGGTTTTGATAATGCTTGTTTACACATTGGGGGAGGGAGGATGTCCTTGTTACCAAGGTCGGTGACTTCCCTGACAGGAGACCTGGTAGGGAGTGGAGAAGGGTTGTGGTTGCTGACCCTCAAAGCTCTGTCTTAGTCAGATTAAGGGGAGTTCATATAAAGATTTCTTTCTGCCTCTGCTGTTAGGTTTTTGGTCCCTTTACTGATTTTGTTATATTTGTTTATAATTTTGATGGTTTTCAAAGCATTTTCACATATCTCATAGTATTTCTATGTTTAAGTAGACAGGGCAAATACTATTATTCCCATTTTATAGGTAAGGAAACTGAGGTTAAGCATTTTGTTCAGAGCCACACAAATAATAGTGGAACCAAGATAAGAGGTTAAGGTATTCACATCTCTCACTATACCTTTGGGACTCAATTTCAGTACTAAGAAATTGAATAATTTATTGTCAATCTATAAGAATTTTAAAGGTGTCAAAATTGAGTAGTATTTTATTTATTTTGTAGGAGAAGATGGTGTAAACTGGTTCATCAGTGACAAAGACGTTGAGGTAAAATCAAATTATTTTTAAAGTTATGAATAATAGATTAATCATTTTTTTGATTCCTAGTTTTCTTTCACTTCATTATAACTTAATGAACTTTAAAAATAGCAAATGGCCTGAGTATCTTGTAAGAAAAAATTTCATTTCAGTATATGGGTAATTGAATTTTTCAGAAGCATCGTTCAGCCTTGATTATTGTCAGTCAATTAATTGCCGTAATGAATTAGTCCCCAATCCCTTCTGTTTCTTCTCTGGAGGGGTGGGGGGGGGGGTGAGTCCTCTTAACTCGTATTTCCTGATACCATTAAAGATCAACACCGGAAATAACTACTTCTTCAGTGTAAGGAAATGGTTAGGCTATATTTAGGATATGGCAGGTGTTTATTAGTCTTAATTGTGGCAGATGGCTAGAAAAGAGAATAATTTTAAAAGTTGGTAAAAGAGAAGTTTTAAGAGATAATTATATTATGACATCTTGAGGCCTACGTGGCCAATTCAGCAAAATAAGTTAAAGATGAAAGTTTTTTCAAAGATGGAATTCTGCCAAACAAGATGAAAGCACGTTTGGCATTTATATATTCCTCTCTAGATATCCATATGATATGCTTCGCTAATATTTTCTTGCAAGATACTGGCTTTTGGCTAGAATATGGCACAGCTAGCATGGGTCATTGTAGGCAGAATGTATTTTTTAAAAGGACTCTGGTGGAAGGAAATTAATCTCATTCTCTCTCAGAAATTATAATTCAGTTTATAGGCGTTAACCCTAGGCTATTCAATAGAAGGAATGTATTCAGTAGCCATGTGGTTTGATAACTTTATAAAAGAGAAATTCATTGAAAAACACCATTCCCTAACTAAAAATTTAAGCAAGCTTCTCGTTCAGAAAAATGTGGTGTATGTTCAGATATAGAAGTTAAGCAATATCTTTGACTCTGAATGCCACCAGAATGTCTGATGTATATCACTGCCTTTGCTAGACCTGAACTGTAAGTAGAGAAAGATACAAAAGAAATGGAGCCATATGAAGAGTGTAAAAAAATGGGGGGGGGGGGGCAGGCAAATAGTAGAGTTGCCTTTATAGCACCCCCTTTTGGGTTTTCTGTTTTGTTTGTTTTTTTTATTAATCCTCACCCACAGATATTTTTCCATCAATTTTTAGATAGATTGGAAGAGAGGGGTTGGGGGAGAGAGAGAAAGAGAAAAACATCCATGTGAGAAAGACACATTGATTGGTTGTTATCCACATAACTCCAACTGGGGCCGGGTTTGAACCTGCAACCCAGATACATGCCCTTGACTGGGAGTTGAACCTGCAACCCTTTGGTCCATGGGCCGGCACTCTAACCACTGAGGCACTCCGGCAAGGGCTCTAACTCCTTTTAAGAACACAAAGTTCCATGTTGCTGGGTTCTAAATTGAACCTACTATGACTGTTAATTCTCTTGAATAGAATAAAATATATATTTTTTTAACTCTTGATTTTCTTTTTTCCCATAGGCCCAGATAGGTAATAATAGATCATCTGGAAGATGGACCCACCGATACTATACAGCAAACAAAAACGTTACCTGTAGAAATTGTGACAAATGTGGCCATTTGTCAAAAAACTGCCCCTTTCCACAAGTATGTGAAATATGAAATGTTTGTTTCTACCTTGTTAAAATCAAAATCTTAGGATTGAAACTTTATAACCTTAGAATTCAAATCTTAGGTAATATATGTGTTAGGTTTCTTGTTAATTTTTCGTGTAGGTCATAGCCTAGAGGAGTAGTAATAGAGAAAAAAACAATAAATTTAGAGTCAGAAAAACCTGAAATCCATTTCGGCTTCCCGTCAGTCATTGGATAACTTGACATAAATCATTTCTTACTCTGTGCCTCCCTTTTCTTGTCTGTAAAATGAGAAGAATGAATCAGATGATTCCTAAGACTCCTTTTACTTCCAAACCTACTTGATGAGACAGTGTATTTTACCATAGGATAATTTTCACTGTTAGAACATTATAATTTAGGCATTCATAAATATTTATCGATGTAAATGATATTAAACAGATACGTCAACCTTTGGAACAACACAGAACTAATACTCTTAGAGGTTCCCTGACACATACTAACCCTTAACAAACATTTCTATCATCTACTCTTCCAAATGATAGTATTTCGCATTTTTCAGACAGCTCTCACGTTTCTGTCTTTGCGTCTCTCGGCAAAGCTGCCTCTTTCTCTCCTTCCTGACTTAGGTTCCAGATCCTCATCATCCTACTTTCTCTTAAACATGTTCCACTTTGCCAGCGTTCCTACAAGGCAAGGCATAAGAAATAGATGCCAGCTGACAGTGCATGCAGACAAATAAGCCTTTTTGGCAACCACAGGATACAGATAGCTTGTGTTCAAGTTCTGATTTCAGACATTTTGTTTTATTTTATAATTAGGCTCCAGATTTTACCTTCATTGGGGTTTCAAATTGGAAATAACTTTTTATGGAATTATACAGAAAAAGAAAAATTAACCTTCTACTATTTAAGACTGAAGCATTTTACTAAAGAGATTTTCTGTTTGTCTGCCACATAGAAAGTTCGCCCCTGCTGCCTCTGCTCCGAGAGAGGGCACCTCCAGTATGCCTGTCCAGCCCGCTTTTGCTTAGGCTGTTCTTTGCCTGTGTCTTCTACTCACAGATGTCATGGAAGACCTTCCTGGAGAAAACGATGTGACCGATGTGATATGTTAGGCCACTATGCTGATGTAAGTATCCTGCATATAACTAGGTTGTCAAGCTTTGGGGGCAGTGTGCCAATTTGTAACTATCTGTCAGCCTACCTAAAAGAATGTTTACTTTGTACTGTATATAATGATAGTCATGTCGCTTTGGCCACTGATTATGTATAGTGGTGCTCTAATATATCAGGATACGGATGCTATGGAATGGTTCATCAGAAGGTATAATCAACAAGTATTGTAAAACCCTGCTAGCCACTTTTGCTTAATGTGCTTGCTGAATAAAATTTGAAATTAAAGAGATGTTATAAGTAATATGTCAAATTTATGTACCTATTCATGCATAGTTAAATGACAATATATACACACTTAGCAGTTGTGTACCGATGAAGCCTGATTTGATGCTGCTTGTTGATAGTTTTTGCTGGCAGAATAGTCTTATGCAAGAAAGACAGCACATTTTTAATCTGTACATTTTAGTTCTTTCTTTGTTTTTTATTATTTTTGGTTTTGGTGTGTGTGTGTGTGTGTGTGTTTAAGTATATTAGAAAATATTTCAGTTGCTTGTAGCACATGAAGTTTTAGCACATTGTTACTTTGGACATCATTTTGCATCATATTATAAATGTCTGTGGGGTTCTAGTCACAATTTTAAAGACCAGGAGGACTATAGAAGTATCTAAAAAAGAAAAAAAGAAGTAAGAATCATTTCCCTTTAATTTGTACTTCTCTAAGACATGATACAAAGCACAAACATTTTTTAAATTTTATTTGTAATTGAAGTGTATTTTATAGCCTTTTGCTTAATAAACGACATGGCTTTCTGTTGAGATAAATTTCACATCAAAACAAACTAGAACATGAACATGAATGTGTGGTGTATGTGCTTCTTATGTAAATAATATAACAGTTAGAGATTGTGATTTTTAAAGGGCCTTTTTAAACGAATAAAAATAGGGTTACTGTCCTACACACTGACTTACAACTTGATGTTTTTCCACTGTGGAAAATTTGTGAATGTGTCTGTGTATCAGCTCATAAAAATCTTTCTTTCTAGTGGCTTTTATTCCATTGTATGGATGTACTAATTGACCCAGCCACTTCTCTACCAATACACTTAGATTTATATTACTGCCCTTTTTTTTTTTTTAATCCTCATTCGAGAACATTTTTTCCATTTTTTTGTTAAGATAGAGTGGGAGAGAGAGAGAGAGAGAGAAAGAGAGAGAGAGAGAGAGAAACATCAACATGAAAGGGACACATCGAGTGGCTGCCACCCGCATGACCCAACCAGGGCCGCGGAGAAACTGCAACCGAGGTACATGCTCTTAGCGGGAACCGAACCCGAGTCTCTGTGGACCGCAGGCTGACGCTCTAACCACTGAGCCAAACCAGCCAGGGCTGTTGCCCATTTTTTTAAGCAAACAGTGGCAGTAAACATCTTTAATATATCCATACACGTAAGAGTATTTGGGAAAGTCAAATTCTAAATTCATTTGTGTATTTAAAGGATATATTCATTTAATTCTGGATAAATATTGTCAAATTACTCTTCTAAAAGATTGTACCAAAGTATCCAACTGCCAGCAGTGTTGAAGAGTGCTCTCAACACTAACTAAATAATCGACCTTTAAAACATGTGCTCAATCAGCCCTGGCTGGGTAGCCCAGTTGGTTGGAATGTTGTTCCATACACAAAAAGATTGCAGTTTGATTCTGGTCAGGGCACATACCTAGGTTACAGGTTTGATCCCCAGTCAGGGTGCATATGGAAGGCAACCAATTGATGTTTCTCGCATCGCTGTTTCTCTCTCTCCTCTCCCTTCCTTTCTCTCTCTCTAAAAAAATCAATGAAACACATCCTCTGGTGAGGATTAAAAAAAAAAATCTGCCCTATCAGAGGAGGAGAAAATGGTATATTATTGTTTTAATTTGTGTTTCTTAGGCTACTAGTGATGTTGAATATGATTCTCAAGTCTAGAGAATATATGGAACATAAAGATAGAAGCTATCATTTCATTTCAAAGTAGTTTAAACTTACTTTTCAATATTACCAAGTCTTAAAAATAATAAATTTGTCTTAGTTTTATACTGTTGTTCTCTGCATTCTGTTGTCAATTATAATTTTTTTAGCAAGATTTTCTAGTTTGGCAGTTATATTTAATAGCATTTTTTTTTTATCCTCACTCGAGGACATTTTTCCATTTTTTGTTCAGATAGAGTGGGAAGGAGAGAGAGACAGAAACATCGACGTGAAAGGGACACATCGAGTGGTTGCCACCCACACGACCAACCAGGGCCGGGGACAAACTGCAACCTAGGTACATGCCCTTAGTGGGAACCGAACCCAGGTCTCTCTGTACCGCAGGCCGACGCTCCAACCGCTGAGCCAAACTGGCCAGGGCAGCATTTTTTTTTTTTTACTTCTTTCTTCCAAAGAACTTTTACAAGTATAGTCTTATTTGCCTGTGATAACAGAAGGAGCTCAGACATTATCGTGACATTTACTAAGTATTTTATTTTTAAACTAGTTTTTCTTTATTGATTTTAAAGAGAGAGGAAGGGAGAGGGAGAGAGAGAGAGAAACATCAATGAGAGAGAGACATTGATTAGAGAGAATATCAATTGGCGCCTCCTGCATGCCCCCCACTGGGGATTGGGCCCACAACCTCAGCATGTGCCCTGACCAGAAATCAAACCAGTGACCTCTTGGTGCGTGGGTCAACAATCAACCACTGAGCCACACCGGCCAGGCATTACTAAGTATTTTAGTACAGAACAGTTAAGAATGATTCATTAAAGGTTATATAATCAGCTGTGAATTAAATTTATAGCTCATTCAGCTTAACATCTTAATTGTGGCCTCTAATGTATGTTAAACTCCTTATCTAAAATGGCCTTGAGGATTAATAATCCCAGTGAATATAAATTTTTAAGGTAGGGTTAAGTGTGGCCGACTTCAGCACCTTTTCCCCTAAATCTGCCAAGATCTATTGTCTTGTTTTGTTTTGTTTTTGTAATTACATGCTGAAGGTTCTGGGTACTAATTGATCTTTTCCCAGTCTGCCCAACTAGTATAGTTGGCCCCATTAGAGCACAGTTCCCTTGGGGCCAACTCAGACCTGGGTTCCACTGACTCTTGAAGAAGCTTAGAGTCTTTCCACTGTTCCAGAAGTTCTTCATGAGGACTTACTTGGAAGCAGAATCATTCTGGCCCCAGGCTGCTGGAACTATTTAGCCAATCCCATCCATGTTTTGTTTTTGTTTGTTTGTTTTTTATCCTCACTCGAGGACATTTTTTGATATTTTGTTCAGATAGAGTGGGAGGGAGAGAGAGAAAGAGAAACATCGACGTGAAAGGGACACATCGAGTGGTCGCCACCCACACGACCCAATCAGGGCCGGGGACAAACTGCAACCGAGGTACGTGCCCTTAGCAGGAACCGGACCTGGGTCTCTCCAGACCACAGGCCATCACTCTAACCGCTGAGCCAAACTGGCCAGGGCCTATCCATGTTTTAAATCTGGTTTGAAACCTGGCATTCCACATAAAATATTGTTTCCACTGCAACCCTCTCAAATGATTGCTGTTTGCTCTTTCTTGACTATTCATATACCTCTGAATTAAGTTGATTACAATCAACCTCTTTCTCACTTGTCATGGCTGCTTCTAAATCATTACTCCTCCCACTTTATGTAGATAACTTTGGCTTATTTAAAGCTCAAACCCTCTGACAGATCTGTCCTCCAACCTTGGTCATTTTCATCTTCCCTTCTACTGGACTTTCTGCTCATTCACAGAGGATTTCTGAAGCCCTGGATAACTATATATGCCCTAATCTCTTATGAGTTAAGGAGATCAAGAAACTTCCATTTTTACTGTATTTTTCCTTATAACCACACTTCAGATCTCTGTAATGCCAAAGTACCAGTTATATGTGCAAAGAGAATTTATAATGAAAACTTAATGAGTCATATCATAATATTCTTGCCATAATGAAGAAGATGAATTTTCTCTTTCTGAACTCTGCTTGACAATGCCTCCTCATTTGTTAACTATTGTATAAAAGTATTTGGTTGAAATTCCAGAATTTTACAATGTAAAGGATAGAAAGATGGCTTAAGGCCTACTAAAGTTTAACCTGCATCATTGGTATCTTCCAAAGGAAGACATTTATGAAGAATTGATGGATTAAAAACATAATCAGAGATGACCCCAAATGAAATGAACTCACTATAGGAAATAAGAGGAAACTCAAGAAAAGCCTAATTCATTCCTCAGTGTGAATAGAGAAGATAGAGAATCCAAAGTAAAATGATCAAAAGAAATTCTGATCAATAGAGCACAAACTCAATATGAGGGAGAAAAAAGACCCACATCTAGATATATGCTAGTGAAATTCCTGAATGTCAAACATAAATCATACATCCTGACAGAAAATACACACACACACACACACACACACATCAAGTTTGCATCAGATTTCTCCTGTGCAGTACTAAAGGCCAGAAGGCAGTAGAGAAATCTCTAGAGGCTAGAACAGCCAAGCTGTTGTTCATTGTGAATTTATTAGACAAGTCGAGAATAAAATAAGCAATAGTGAACAGTGAAACCAGGAAAGCATAGGGTACATGCCTGAGCACTTTCTGTTAATCTGTTTGTTAAATTTATAAATATAAATTTTAGAAAAAATTTTCCAAAAAACAAATATAATTTAAAAACTATAATAATGTGGACCAAAAATAATTCTAATAAAATTGTATTTGTTTTAATTACAAAAAGAAAAAGTCATATAACTTTTTTTTAAATTGATTTTAGAGAGGAAGGGAGAGGGAGAGAGATAGAGACATCGATGAGAGAGAACATTGATTGGCTGCCTCCTGCATGCCTCTCACTGGGGATTGGGCCCACAGCCTGGACATTTGCCCTGCATGGAAATCAAACCGGTGATTTCTTGGTAAGTGGGTCACTCAACCACCGAGCCACACCAGCCAGGCTTAAATATGTTTTTATTGATTTTAGAGAGA